GCGTGAGAATGAAAACCAGTAACTGATCATAGTAAATCATTATAATCAGTTCCAGGTTTTTATTCTCACGCACTCATCTGAAGGGCATTAGAATATTAATTATGTTAAATGACCTTCTAGGTCATTTGGTCCTCGAAATGATCCAATGACTAGTCATTTGTCATTTGGGTCATTTCAGGTCATTTACCATCACTGCTGCAAAATACGATAAAACAATTAACCCACAAAGTTTGTTTCTGTTATATAAATTTAATGGTTTATAATGTTTTGAAATCCGATAAACTCTCGCCATTAAACAAAACCTGTACATCATGCATATCATGAGAAACTCAACAGTATTAATAGTTTATAATGTCTTCAAATCCGGTAACCTCTCGATATTGATACAAAACGTATTTAGTAAATATAATAATAATATACCGAATATAATAAGGGGATTATTTCAAATATAGTCCAGAAATTATGAGTGACGGCAACGAAAGCATGCAAGTTCTTATGCATTTAATATCTTAATGTTAACCTTACAGGGCCGTCAAAAATCTAGTACATAAAAAAAATTACAAGGCTTTACTTGGTATCACTCACGTATAAAATATTTCTTTTAATGAAGCTAGTCTAAAATATTATAATGATACTTGTACATTATTTCGATCACTATAAAATTGCATCTAGAGAGATTCTTATTAATACCTTAAATCAACATGAATCGATAAGGCAAATAGATTAATTATCCCAAATAATTCTTTAATCGAATGACGAATATTCATATGAACAATGCCGAATAGTGCTAATAATATTATCTACTAATTTTTGGCAAGATAAAAATTTGGATTGATGAAAAAACATTTTTTCAAACTTTTACAAAAAATTTTAATAAGCGATAAGTGGATAAGAATCTAAAAGATGTACGTCATTTTTTATAAGTACAACTTAAAGTCCAATCGTACTACCAGAATATTCACAACTATTACTACCACAATCAAGAGATTCAGAACAAGTAATACAATAACAATCACTAGCTTTGATATTTGAAACGCACGTTTCAGGAACATCTTCATTAAATCTGCATTTAGCACCGTCACTAAAAATTAGAGATGCCATCCTGCTCCAACTGGATAGTTTGTGCTTAAAAACTCGTTGGAACACTGTTTCAAAGTATATACGTAAAACCGGTTTTCAAACTCAGTTCATACAAATGTAATACTAAGGGTGTTCTCAAGCGCCTAAATCAATTGATCGGAAATAAATTTTTAAATCGTCGGAAGTCGAAAAAACTGATCAAGTGAGTTTCCGTTTCACTGAAAAAAATCTGGAGGTACATACCATCTTTTTTTTTCATAGAGTTAACGCTGATTGGCTAAAACTGCTTATTAATAGAGTATCAAAAGAGATTGTTCAAGCACTTTACTTTACTTCATGGATCTTCAGCAAAATTGTAATTGTTTGATAAATCATTCAAAAATTATTGCGCTGCTTTTTATATTAGAAGCCCTTACCGCAAAAAAAAATCCCAGGAAACACAAAGTGCACAACTAGTTAATATTTATTATCTTCTAACATTCCTTGCCTAATATAAAAGCCCAACGCCAACAATGACCTAAAACTATAGGATTCTGGCAGGAAGTTTTTCCAAATCTAACAGACGAAGGAGGTTACAACTCATTTCGGCGTCACTTTCGTATTACCTTGACTACTTTTAACTATATTGTTGTATGATTAGAAAACCATCCAGCCTTTTTTTCTGAAGCCATTAATGCAACGCCTGTATGGAAGCAAATTGCCATAGTATTATTGCGATTTGCAAATGGTGCAGGCATACGAACGCTAGAACAAACACCTAGAGTTAGTCAAGGATCCGTATGCCACTTTACTGATTGGTTTTTAGAAGCTTTGCTTGATATAGAAAATGATCGAATTATGTAGCCAAAAGGTGCTCGATTAGCTGCAGTAACACATGGATTTGAATATAGTGAAACTGGTCTGAGAAATCGTAAATTACCTAATGTAATTGGGGTTATAGATGGGTCACATATACCAATTCACCCTCCTTCTAAAAATGGAGCTCTAGATTTGTAAATCATAAAAGTTTTCATTCAATTAACCTCCTTGGAATTGTTGATTTTCAGGAATGTTTTACATACAACATATAAGAGAAGTAGGTTTAATATATATATTTTTTTTATGTATATTATTTTATTAGAGTAGGTGCTGGAAAAAGGGTCGAAAATGACTATTTTTTCAAATGTTTTTTTAGTAGTTATATTAATAAAATTTTGCAGTATAGCTTTTTAAAGTTTGCAAATTTATAATACATACAAAAATCGATTTTTTAAAAATCTTTTTTTGTTATTTTTGGCCCTTTTTCCAGCACCCAACCTATATATATTTATTTATTGATTTTTAAATAAAATTTATTATAAAAGCAGCGTTCATAATGCCTATGTGTTTTATCACTCTTCACTTTATTGTGAAATTTTATTACACCCCAAACAATGGATTCCTGGTGGTATATACATAATCGCTGATTCTGCATATCCTTTGAAAACTTATTTGATAAAAGGATTTGCTAATTATAAATCATTAAATTATCATGAACAATGTTTCAATAAAGTCCTTTTTTCAATAAGAATGGCTATTGAGTGAGCATTCAGATGGTTAAAAGAATGATGGAGAATTCTGCTAAAGGAAGTTTATTATACAGATCTAAAATGTATTGTTAAGATTATCCATGCATGTTGCATCCTACATAATTTGTGTATCGATAATGATGATTTGCTATCATTAGAAGATGCAGTAATAGAAGAAAATAATGTTGATTATACTGATATTGAAGACAATGAATTCAACGATAAAACACTTATAGTTAATGAAGAAAACGATAGAATTGCAGGCTTACAAAAAGAAATTATTTAGCAGATTATCTCTTTAATATTTCATAATTGTAACAGAATTTATTACAATATACATTTAATTTTAAGCAAATAAAAACTATAAAATATATTTTATAATTTCATTAAAAGTTGTCGAAAGATTTCCATTTGCTCATTGTGTTGCTTCTGCTGAACTTCAGTAGTATGCATATATTGGTCCTTTATAGTTTTAATAATAGTTTTAGTTTGATCTTTAATGAGTATACAAAACTCTTTAATATTTCCTTTTTTATTTTCAAATCATCATTTTTTTTGAATTCAACCTATAAAAAGAAATAGTAAACAAAAATAATAAATATCAATACCGATACTGTACTGTATAAATATATATTTCAATTTAATTAATATTTTATCTCATCATCACTATTATTTGTGGTCTTTTGTGATTTGTGCTTTATTCTATTGATGGAATCACTTGTAATAGGTGCCATAATGCTTGGATCCTTTTTTAAATATTCGTCCATATTATTAAAAAATTTACAATTGTTCTGAACTGCTTCTTCACCAGTGCTTCCAATAGTATCTTTTATATTATGGTACTTTTGTAGAAAAGTATCCCACTATTGTTACTTCACTATTCCACTATTGTTACTCCACTATTCCACTATCGTTACTCCACTATCGTTACTCCACTATCATTACTCCACTATCATTACTCCACTATCGTTATTCCACTATCGTTACTCCACTATTGTTACTCCACTATTGTTACTCCACTATCATTACTCCACTATCGTTATGTCTTTAGCAAATTGTAGCAAAAAAAAAAGGCAACTATCCGGCCAGCAAATATAACTTCGTCAGCAACATCTCAACAAACAAATTTACCTTCTTTGTCAGCAACACCTCAACAAACAAATATAACTTCGGCAACACCAAGTGTCCCACCATCTCCTTTTACAGACTTCATGAATATTCATATATTATTATAGCAACAGTATTCGCAGCTTATTGCACCTTTGGCTTTGACCAAAATTAACGTTGAAAATAATGAAATATTGAATATCAATAATTAGTAAAAAAATAAAAAAATTAAAATAAATAAATAATTTTTTTTTTTTTTTTTTTTTTTTAGAAATTTTTTTTAAAAAATAATGAACAGAAAAATTTATTTATTTTTATAACTGCTGATTTTGTGTCTTGTTCTCAAAATTTTGCTCTTTC